GGGGGCAGGCGCCGCGGGAGCCGCTGGTGGGGCCGCGCCGCTGCCCTGACCGGGGAACGGCCGCTCACCCGGCGGGCCCTGCCCGCCCGCTGCCCGCACACCCCTGGCTCTGCCCGAGGCAGGGGCTTTCCCCTCAAATCATCCCAGCTGGAAATCCCGTTCCCTTACTCCTGTGTTGAGGCGATGAGGGGGCTTGGGTATGGGAGCTATAGGGGGAGGAATAACAACATCGGGGTGCTCAGCTCTGTATTTCGAGGAGTCGCTGTCATCTGAGATCCCTTATTTCRTGGCTTTACGCAGGGGAGGCCAGCTGTGCTTTCCTTACAGAGGAAAACAGGACATAAAGCCTAGAGCGCTCGTCTATAAGTTAACGTGGATCTGCGGCTCTACAGCCGTGTTAATCCTGATCTAAGCAAAGGCCTTTGCTTTGGGGGATGTTAAAAAAGGGGATGGAAACAAGGCACAGGTGCTTTACCACCTGGCTGGCTCCTCTGTACTGGTTTAGGTTCTTCTTTACTGGTATCTCTGTTGTGGGGCATTAGGGATGTGTTGGACTGTTCCCCCAGGAAGGCTCCTGCATGGAAACTTCCAGCGAGGGAGGAGCAGCCCGGCTGGATGGGGGCAGGTGCCGGCAGTGGTTTGGGCCCGGGCTGCTGTTAGTTGTGCAGTGTGTTCTTTCAAATTGGAGATATTGTTAATGGGGATTTAATAGGAAGRATAAGCTGGAAGTCTGGATGCTTGAAATGGGAATCAGGTGTTTAAAAAGTCAAGCAAAGCATGCGGAGGTAAATCTGGGTGCACAACAGAGCAAGTGGCTGAATGTATTAGAGGATTATTCTGAAGGGATAGTGAATGGGGCTTAGCCCTTCTCTTTTGAGGCTAAAACAAGCTGACAGTGTTTCCTCTGCGTATCCTCTTTTGGTTTGAATTTGGGATAAAAACTCTTCCCTTCAGTGCGATTCTCTTCTCCGCCCCTGGCTTGCTTGAGCCCTGGGACTTGGACCTCAGCAGTTTCCCTCGTGGTGAATGTAAGCCTTGTGCGAAGCAAAGAATGATGTCTTGTTGTTCAGTGCAAATCCTGCACYGAAACACTGCACACATCCTTCTCTCCCTTCTGAGATGGCTATTGTGCAAAGTATGCAAGATATTCCTTCAGAAGTACTGTTTGTTTTGAGCTATTCAGCAAAACTGTTGGCTATTTTTGGAAGATGCTTTCCCAATTCAACAGGAAATATGGGGCAAAATAGTTGACTAGGCTGTTTGCAAATGGGCTGTGCACCCTTTTAACCCCTCTCACAGTTGAAATGTGGCCTCGAGTCTGATACTCTGCAATAATCTGCTCCTTGTCCAGGAGCTGCTTTAAGGTGCTGTCTCTGTCCAGAGGAACCTCCTAGCAAGAAGGATCTGTGCAACTCATCGTGCTTTGTAACCAGCAATTGGGAGGTCTGGGCTGGAAGTCATGTGAATTACTTGTTTCTCCTCAGTGCTGAGCTGCAGGATTTTTAGACTGAGACTTGAAGCTCTGAACCTTTAGTAGGGTCTAAATTACTTCAGATGGCGAGAAGGTGGTTTGATGCCTTAGGCTGTCTTGGAGAGAACCTAGAGTCTGCGTGCTCTTCAGTATAAACAGGCTCTTCGTCAATAAACGCTTGACTTTTTCTTTACGTCTAATAAGCCAGTTTCTGAGTAGAAATATGCAACTATATGGGCTGTTTATCTTAAATTCTGTTTTTTTTTTTGAAATATTCTAAACTTAGGTGGTTCTCATTTTATTTGAAGAATATTCTATTTCTACAGGCCTTYCTGTTTTGAACAAATTAAAATAGTCTCAGTGACATGATGCAAGCTTGGTGTCATGGTAACTACTTGGAGGTTCCAAGAGGAGTAAAAAACATGTTTTTTTTTCTTATGTGCTGCTTCGATGGCAGTGAGAAGCCGTGTTAGATAACCAACCTGTTTGTTTTTCTCCAGCATTTCCTTAGGGCTGGGAAGATATTCGGATCAGAGAGGGAATTGAGTGTGAGCACCCTGAGGATTTACCTCGTTGAGAGGTTAATGGACAGAGCTGAGGAGACAACAGTGAAGTTGATGTCAGAAGGAGAGTTTTTTAGGAGCTTTTTGTTGCTGAGACAAGTAGGGATGGATGAACTTGTCTTTCTAGATGTATCTGAGCGTGGGAAGTTCCTATGCTGRTAGGAGCTGGAGGTCTCTCCTCTTTTCATCAATCCAAAGCAGGATCAGATTAGACACCTGAAACCTGGTGCTTGTGGTGCACGTTCTTCTGTGACATTAGACTATTCTCTTTCTATCCTGTAAATCTGATAAACATATCAACAAATCATGTCCTTTTCCTCAGGATTCAGTTTCATAGGATTTTTCTTTCCCATCCTTATCCCTTGCTGAAAATGAGAAAGTTGTGTTTTGGGTGGAACAGGATTTGCCAAAGACACGGCCCACATATTGAGTGAGTCTGTGTGTTGGGGTCCATGTGTGCATGGGCCTTTCAGCACCCTGGTAGGTGGAACATGCAGCAGAGAGCCCTGGGTTGAAGTCTCAGCCCTGCTGAAGCTGGTGGGAGTCTATACCAAGGAGGAGCACCCAAAAGCTATAATTTAAATGAAGGCATCTTCAGCTTCACCTATCAGAAGYTGCCTGATATGTAGCAACTCAACAGATAGGAGACTTTAAATGTTATAAATCCCAAAAGGTCCTTCGCAAGAAGGAAGTATCACATGTATCTATGCAAGAGGGGGAAAGTTCCTCATRGATTTTGCTTCAGGATCCTTCAGTCTCTTCGGTGCCTGTTTGGCTTTCGCTTGCCTTTGTGTAGGGCAGGGTGGTGTGGAGCAGCACACCCGGCTCCCTCAGTGAGGTGGAGAAAATGGATAGAGCTTGAAGAGCCAGGACAGTTGCTCTCTTGCCAATTCATCAAGAAATTAACTTCTCTCCACTCCTGGAAGGCTTCCCAGAAGATAAGGAATGGACTTTATTTCTATTAGATTGGCTTCTTAAGAAAGCAAGGCTTGGGTGATGGGTAGAATCTGAAAGATACGGTAGGTCTGAAGAGTGTTTGAATGCAGGGGCTGGGGAGAGGGATCTGGATTAATGCTCCTAATGCACAGATGATTCCAGTGTGAGCTCAGACTGTATTACTGGGTATTGGATAATCTGCACGGGAAGGGGAGGCAGGTGGCGTGAGGGAATGAAATTGGAAACCAGGCTCTGCGTGTCTGGCTGCCCATGGAAGGAACAGCTTGATTTGCAGGGCACTCATGGTGTTGTGGTGAAGGCCCCTCTGTATGTGCAGAGCTGACCGTGAACTTCTGAGGAGCAGGATCTTGGTGGAAAAGCCCAGAGCTGCCTCTTACCTGCGAGTTCTGGTGTGAGATAGCGGCTTGTGGCCGCGCAGTGAGGCACCTGTGGGAACAGTATCGAATGAGGAGCCTTGGTGAGACCAGGACAAGTCTGTCCTGTCCCAAATGAGATTTATTTCAACATCACAGACACTGTTGGCACGTGACTAGCAAGCGGCTTGACCAGCCAAGCTGTTTGCAGCCTCAGGTGTTCAGCCTCTTGCAGGATTGGGCACTTGTGGAAGAAAATAGTAATAACAAACACTGTCAGTTCTCTTTCCAGTCTCTTTGGACATAGAAACCAGCTTCTGTTGCTTACCTTAAATGCCTTAAACCTTTGGTGGTGGGAGCTTTTTGAGTGATGAGAGGCTATATTAGATTGACAGGTATTAGGTACCAGTTTTCGCTGTCATGATGACAGGATGTGTGAGCTGCAAACAGTGGGACTTTGGCAGACTTGACTGCCAGTCTGTAGGTGCAGGGATCAGACCTTCTTCCCCCCAAGTGCCAGGTTGGCCACCTGACACTCCCATGATCACATCTCTCCAAGCACACGTGTGTGACACAGATGTATCTGCCTCTGAACCTGTGCTGGGGTAAGCTGGGCTGGGCCCTGTGGCTGGGGGATTGAGGTCTTTTGAGTAGTTGTGCTTGGTGAGAGTTTCCAGGGGACCAGGAACTGAGAAGCAGTTGGGAGAGATGGGGCGCAAAAGCCAGACAGTGCTGACTTCGTGTTTRTTGCCTTCGTTGGAAGAAAAAATAGAAAAAGAGAAGTCTGTGTGGTGTCTGTCCCTAATATAGCCCATTAGGCAGGACAGGGAGTGAAAACTTTTCTCAGTTTTGGAGGAAAGCTGTACTTAGAGCAGCTGAAGCCTCTGTGAAAACTGTTGGCTGTTGTTAATCTCTTAATGACACACAGGTATCAAAGCCTGAAATACTGCCCTTAGCAAAGAGCTGACGTTCAGGTTCACAAGCCTGGTAGCCTGCTTTGAATCAACTTGTTTCTTGGTGATTCCTCACTGATCGTAGCATTTATTTTGCGTGTGTCTTAAGGGGCTTGTTAAAATTGCATAAGAACCACACTCGTTTCTCCATTCGCTTGAAAGTTGTCCTTCTAGTAGGGTGGTTACAGATTGGGGTAGCTAAATTACAAGCGCTTTTCACCGGGGAGTTGCACTGGGGAATTTTCACTGGGAAAACTCCCAGTTTTCACTGGGAGTTCAGTTGAATGAAAACGAACTGTGGTGCTTGCTAGCAGGGATGGAAAGGGATGGGAACTGCTTAAAAACAATTGGAAGTTGTGTCTTTAATTTCATGCTGCCTGACCCGAT